AATGGTTCTGCTGGCAGGCAATTGCTGCAGCTCTGCCAAATTGGGTGAGCCATAGAATCATAGAATTGTAGAGTTGGAAGTGACCCCAAGGTTCATCTAATCCAAGCTCCTGCAATGCAGAAATCCAGCTGCCCCAGGGTGGGCTCAAACCACCAACCTTCTGGTTAACAGCCAGACACACTGACTGGTTGCACCACCTGAGGGCCATGATTAACGACAACCAGAGCTTGCATCACCCATTTCACCAACCTGATCCCCTTCAGATGTTCTGAGCCACAACTCCCACAATGGCTACGCTGGCTGGGCTTGATGGGTGTTGTAGTCAGTGTTCGAAACTCCCCTTGTTCTAGGCGCATTTTGCGGCAGGGAATTTCATTAGCGCGTGCAGATTCTGAGCTCTGGGCACAGTACAGATTTCAGATCAAAACTGCAGAGTGGAAGCAAAGGAGGACCTTTTTCTGCCTCCCCACTTCCAGCTACTCTCTGAAGACTGCAGAGGAGACCCTCTTAAGAATATTAAGGGGGTGGGCAGGGGACGGACTAGAACATGTGAAAAATAAGCATACTATTTTAGCTGCAGTTCATTTTCAGCTTTGTATTCTTGTTATAAAAAGTGAGCCTAGACGTTCCGTTGTTGCACCCATAACCTAGGTTTAAGGTGCCATTTAGCTCCTGGCTTTCATATCTCAGTTTCTAACACTGGTTGTAGTCTGGAGAGCACCAGGTTGGCAAGTACTGGTTGCACTGATAAGAAAATTAAGGCATTTTCATATCTGCAACGCCATACCCTACACTGGTTTCATGTCTGCATTTATCAGCCACATACACAACTGCAACACAATTTCAAGCAGATTAGCTTATGGGTACCAGATTTTTTTTCCAAGGAATCCGGGGACACTTAAAAAATAATAATCATGCTGTATTATTTTAAGAAAGGGTTGCCCAGAGTTCTTGACCTTTTTCGGGGGGGGGGAACCCCAAAGTTGTCGGGCGTCCACCTCGACACAAGGCAGCCAGAGAAGCCCACCTACAAACACACAAATGCCCCCCCAAAAAACAGGTGAGAGGGGGAGAGAGAGATCGAGTAAAGGTGCTCACTGGTCTTGGGAAAACAAGCATTAAAACACCCACACAAGGCTCAGTCTCTCTGTCTCTGTCTCACAACGCAGCACAGCTCTTTTCTAGGCTTCTCCTCCTCTTCTTCACCGCCTTAGCGCCTCACTTGCCCCCCCAACTCAGGTGCGCAGAGCCCATGGCAGAACAACGCCACGGGCTCTTCTGCTGCGGGTGGCTCTGCGCAATTTCAGAGCGAGTGTTGATCGAGGAAGTGAGCCACAAGGAAGCTCTCTGGCTCACGCCTCGGTTTAAATAGCCCCCCCCCCCCAGCCAACATATTGGCTGGCTGGAACTTTGTTGTGGCCGGGACCCCCAGTGCTGCTCGCTGCCATGGCACCCACCACATTGCCTCGCCGGAAGTCCCCAAGCATAAATCGGGGGACATTAATTAAAATCCGGGGACAGATTTTGTCTGGGGACAGATTGGTGAATCCGGGGACTGTCCCCAGGAACCGGGGTTGTCTGGTAACCCTAGATTATCTTCTCACCAGTGTCATACATTAAAAGTGTTCCTGGTGAACCGTCCAGTTCGCGTTGCCCGCATGATGCCAACCCCAAGGCAGTGTCCCAAGCAAAGTGGCACTCACACAACATGTGACCTAAGGAAAGCTACATTGCACCAGATTACCTGTGTGTGATCAGCAGCAGGTATGTGGAAGCAGATGCTCTGTGCATGTCAGTAGCTGGCAGAATGGGCAGTCCCTTCATGCAGAAAGTGAGGAAAGAGGAGGAAGTGCGTATGCTTCTGCAAAACAATCAGTGCTATTATCTCGTTGCAGTTTTGACCTTGAAATTTGCCATCATCTTTAGAGGGGGCTACATTGCCTTTGAGCACTTTAAATCCCTGACATTGTAGGATCCTGAGCAGATCAAAATAACCCACATTCTTCTGAAAGATCTCAGCAGTGAACCTTTTTCTTTTGCAGCCTCAAAGCTTCTTAGATCTTTTAACCGTTAGACAGCTTCAGCATTCATACAAAAGCAGCAGAATTCAGTGTACGTGCTCCCCACAATGTATAAATAGCTGAATTTACTGGCAGCTGTCTTTCTTATATTTCCTAAATTCTAGCATTTACGTTTTCAAATATGTTTTTGGTTTGGCAGCCTGCCATGACATTATTGCTTTATATTCCTCCTCAATGTCAACCCAACTGTTTAAAAAATACCACGTATTTTAGAAACACAAAGGGCTTGAATAGGTAAGGTAGATTTCCCCCTCGTTTTAGGCTGCAATTCTACAGCCTGAAAGTAGGTCCCATCAGTGGCGTGGCGTGGGGGGTGCAGGGGGGGCCGGCCGCACCGGGCGCAACATCTGGGGGTTAGGGTTAGGGGGCGCAAATCCACGGGTTAGGGGGTGCAAATTACTTGCCTTGCCCCGGGTGCTGACAACCCACACTACGCCACTGGGTCCCATTGAATTCAATGGGGTTAAGTTCTGATATATATGTATAGGATTGTGCTGTTAATCTAACCTGAATTACCCTTGGCTGCAAGCATGAAACTGCTCAGAAATGTGACAGTATTTCTAGGAAGCGATAAGATTCAGGTGTAGGCACTCTCAAACCCCATTCATGCCTTTAGAATAAGTTTCAAAACAGAATTCTGAGATGTATGAGAATTGTTCAGACAAGCAAGCTTTCTGGCCTTGAAGATAACGTGATTAACATTAATTATTTAATAAACTGATGCAGAAACTGGGCAAACGGAATTCAAGACTGGAATCATGAAGAACCAGGAAAAACTGAAACTAACACAGCAGCCCATCCTTCAACTGTAACAAAATGTGCTTGCCCACTAAGGGAAAGTCAGGAGCTCAGTTTGAATTCCCATTTGTTTTTCTATGACTCACTTTCAAGGAGTGACCTGGCTTCCTCACACAGTGTCCTCCTTGTGCATTTGTTAAGGCACAGACCAACCATAGAGGAAGGCTAAGCGCTATTTTGCTGCTTTATTTACATAAGCTTGGAATGCAGAAGGGGCAGAAATGTACACAAATGGTAATAATGACTAACTTGACTGCTGTCCAGCAACCATCAGCTTTCCGTACCAGACCGGATGATTTCATCTTTGGTGGAAACTCAGGGCTGGGATCTCTGTCACAGAGGTCAGTAATCCTTGGAATTTGCAGCAGTTAAACAGCAGGTCTCAATTATTATACAGATTCACAGGCAGCCTCTGAAATGAAACTAATGTACTGCTACTAAACAAGGAAGGGTGATTTGCTTTGTTCTGCAGCCTTATTTGGGTATTCTTGCCTGCCATGTTCATTCATACAGAAGGAAGGAGAGGGGCCATGCCAAGCAGCCCCCCACCCCACCCCACATAGCATGTTCCTCCTATGTCGTCATGCACATCACAAAAATCCATAGAAAGGGGGCTTTCATATGTGTTGTTGAACACAAGAAGTCTTCTCTAGGAAGTAGAACTCTAGATTAATTCAATTCTAGATTCCAGGGAAGTCTTTATGTATCTTAGTAAAGGTAAAGGGACCCCTGACCATTAGGTCCAGTCGTGGCCGACTCTGGGGTTGCGGCGCTCATCTCACTGTATTGGCTGAGGGAGCCGGCGTACAGCTTCCGGGTCATGTGGCCAGCATGACTAAGCCACTTTTGGTGAACCAGAGCAGTGCACGGAAACACTGTTTACCTTCCCGCTGGAGCGGTACCTATTGATCTACTTGCACTTTGACGTGCTTTCGAACTGCTAGGTTGGCAGGAGCAGGGACCGAGCAACGGGAGCTCACCCCGTCACAGGGATTTGAACCGCCGACCTTCTGATTGGCAAGTCCTAGGCTCTGTGGTTTAACCCACAGAGCCACCCACGTCCCTTATGTATCTTACTATATAATATTTTTGTAAGAAAAACGTCACACTGCAGTTCATGTGTCTGCCAGTAGGTGGCCAAGCAAACTGCAGCATGACAACAGAGGATGGAGTGAATAAGTGAAGTAGGTCAGTCAGTGTAGGCAGGGTTGGTAAGCAGCACAACTTGCACAACTATATAGTATATGCATAGCCCAGCCTACATACTACTACTACTACTAATAATAATAACAATAATTTTATTATTTATACCCGCCCAAGAGTGTGACATTGGGGACGGGGCTACTTCATGCAGCCTTGCTCCTCACTCCTGCACTGATCAACATGGGAAATGACTGTTTGCAAACAGGACTTCTGTATCTCTAGGTCTAGCTATCAGAACATATGCATTCATAATATCAATAATCACTGTACGGCAAAGCTGCAAGAAACTCAAACCAGTAAGTTGTGAAAGCATGACCATGTCACTCTTGAAGCTTGCCTATGCTGAGTCGAAAAAAAAGGGGTTCTTTTAAACAAAACAAAAATTCCCCACTGCTCAGCGGAATTCAAATAACCAAAGCTATTTTAGTTGACGCTCAGAATAAAATCATCCAGAAATTATTTGAATTTGAATGAAATTTAATAAGTTTCAGTGAAGTATAATTGCTTTGGCATGTATTCAAACACTGTGGTTATTTTTGTACTCATGCAAAAGGATTTAGCTGGGCTCCCTAAAACATTCTGAAGCTCAGAGGAATAGAGAGGCTATTTTCACACCGCATTCAGTGGCGGAGAAGAACAGGAAAAGTGTTTTTGTGGGGGGAGTTAGGGCAGTTAGCAACATCTGGACTTCTTTTCTGAACAGAATCAATGATGTCATCTACTGGGTAATCAATAGCCCGATCTTGCCCTGGCAGGTGAGTGAGGTGACAATGAAGCTTTCAAGTTTTAGTATTTTGTGTGTGACAGATTAGCATCAAGGAAGTCAGAGAATGAAGAGAATAATCAACCAGAGGCTACATATTTCTTTCCTTGCTTCTTTGCTTCTTTGAGAGCCAGTGTGGTGTAGTGGTTGAGAGCGGTGGACTCGTAATCTGGGGAACCGGGTTTGCGTCTCTGCTCCTCCACCTGCAGCTGCTGGGTGACCTTGGGCCAGTCACACTTCTTTGAAGTCTCTCAGCCTCACTCACCTGGGGGAGGAAGGGAAAGGAGAATGTTAGCCGCTTTGAGACTCCTTAGGGTAGTGATAAAGCGGGATATCAAATCCAAACTCTTCTTCTTCTTCTTCTAATTAAAAGCTAAAGGTTCCGTTTCAGCAGGACAGAGACATTTTGTTAATGATGAACATTTTTTATAAATTGAAATTATGCAGTCAGAAAGCACCCCAGAGTTCAATGGAGCTTACTACCAGGTTATGCCTAGGATTGCAGTCATGGTCGGAAGGACGCAGGTGGCACTGTGGTCTAAACCACAGAACCTCTTGGGCTTGCTGAACAGAAGGTTGTCAGTTCGAATCCTCACGACAAGGTAAGCTCTCCCATTACTCTGTCCCAGCTTCTGCCAACCTAGCAGTTCTAAAGCACACCAGTATGAGTAGATAAATAGGTACAGCTGCGGTGGGAAGGTAAACAGCATTTCTGTGTGCTCTGGTTTCTGTAATGGTGTCACCATTGTGCCAGAAGCGGATTAGTCATGCTGGCCAAATGACCCGGAAAAGCTGTCTGTGGACAAACACCGGCTCCCTAGGCCTGAAAGCAACACCATAGTCACCTTTGACTGGACTTAACCATCCAGGGGTCCTTAACCTTTTTTTATCTTTTGCAGTCATGGGACATGACTGATCAAGGATCTGAACGGAGATCTCTGCAGCCAAATTCAAACATGCCCAACAACCCCTGCTTTGCCAGTTCACTATTCTATGACTATCAACTAATTCTAATAAACTGAGTATTATTTTATGCACTGTTACTTAGTTCTGTACCTATAGCTCCCTGCTTCTGGAGATTCTCCTTGGGGATCATGCAACTTCATAGAATCACAGAGCTGGTAGAGACCCCGACGATCATCTAGTCCAACCTGAATATGCACATGTCCCATACGGGGATCGAACCTGAAACCTTGGCATTATCAGCACCACTCTCTTATTGGTAAAACCTATTTGGTGTTTCGCAACTTTCTGACTAGTTGCAGGACCTTAGCCAGACCTAGCAGAGTACACGCAGAATCCACAGAAGCAATTGGCGACTTAGCTGCAGACAGGATAGACGAAGCAGGAACCAGGAACTTGTATTAGGTGTTTATTATATACAGTGGACTATTTACAGGAACAGAACATGGATCTTTAGCTAGCTCTCTCTGACACGATTCACAACTCCTACACTGACACAGAACTCTGAACTCACGAACTAAGAACTAACACATTCCAGTTAGCAGGCCATTAATTATCACTCCCTTGAGAGAGCTTGACCAAACAGGGAGCGGTCTCCATGTCTCTGTTATCACCAGGCAGACTTACTCCTTCAGATTGCCTTCTGGCTGGCTGCCCAACCTTAATTGACTCTGTGTGAGTAGCTGCACGTACACAGTTTCCCAACAACTCTAACCAACTGAGCAGTCCTTAGGACAGGAAAACAACTGTCTTCCTTAGAGAAGCACTGTTCAGTTGAACCCACTTGATGTGCAATGAATGCTCTTAGTGGGATCCTGGGGGCATGCACCTCCCCACCAAGCCATGTAGATTTGCAACATGCCTTGGCACATCCAAACTGTATGCATTCGGGCTTCTATATGCTGTTGGAGTTCCTGCAAAAAGCACAGTCCCTGCACATTTAAGTCTAGTTTGCTCCTGTGTTGGCACATTCCCAGCGGGTAAATGTCTAGGAATATGGGATGGAAAGGGCTCCCTGTGTAGATGGCAGGAGTGAGCATTCATTGTAAGTGCAGAGGTACATGTGAAGAGAGCTATCATGCCTCCAGCTATCTGATCTCTTAAAGAGACCAATGTTAAACCTACATGAAAGCAGAATGACCTCATTCTAGGCAAGTTTTTGCGTTGGAGCATGAGCCTTATATCCTCTTGACTAGTTTGGGACTACCATTTAATATGGTCTGTGATCAGGTTGGTCTGTTCATGCCACTGTCTCTCTTGTTCATCATTGCAGTAGCAGGAGGTGGGTACCTGTTACAACAATTTGTGAACTACTGAGCCTATATTGGTGTTGACTTAGAATTTGCCTGTTTGACAGTTAGGGATGCTGAAAAGTTCTGATGAAAATGGAGGTGTAGCAGAAATTGCTGCAGTTCTTGTGCTTGTCTATGGCCAGGAATGGAAATCAGTCATGTAAATATGATTGGTATTCATTCAGGTTGTCATGTAACTTCACAAATGATGCGCAAATAACGATGGGTTTGATTTTCCCCCACCATTGTTTTGATGTTTCCTTTATATTGAAATAACTGTAAGTTATGTAAATAGCATGACATTAAATAGTGGAAACCGAGACAAATAATGTAGTATTTAGAGGAAACCAAACTGCAGCGGAATGGAAACAGCCATGATTGTGACAAAGCCAAAATGCTGCCTTTTTACATCTGTATTGATAGTTTGGCTTACACCATGTTAAAAAAAACCACAACTTCATAAACTCCATCTTAAGGGGCCAGAAAATTGCCTTTAGTTCTGTGAATTCATTTTTCAGTCACCATGACAACAAATCTAGCACTTCTATCCATTGCTCAATCAGCCTTAAGTGCCTCTGAATTGCCCTAAAGGACTTTCCCAATGTCTGATCACTGTAATTCGAGGGTGATAATTAGATTTTCTTCCTGCTGTCATTAGCATGAAGAATAGGAAACTGTATTTGCATAACCTTTCCTCATTGGCTTTTCACAAGCCCAGCCTCTGGGATATTGATAAATCCATGTCACATGTAGTGGATAATCCCCTCTTCTACATTCTCAGTCCTCACAATTTAAAAAGAGAGCACTTTCTTTTCAACTCTTCCTCCCTTCTTTTCATTTCCTTAAGTGTTTAGAAGACTTGTGTTCCAGCAGGAGTTTTTCTCAGCTGCCAATGGTCCAGGAACAATGTGGTTGACGCCATGTTATATGGCAGCGTGCATTGGCTTTGGACAAACCCCAAAATTAAAGGGAGCACCACAGAAGGGTTTTTGGCTTGCCAGGGGCAAAATAGGAACTCTATGAGGAGGTGAGAGTTTGGGGACCCAATGAAGTTCTTTGCATTCCAAGGCCCTGTGCCCTACAATTCCCCAGTGATTACTAAGCATGCAGACACGAGTATTTAGGATTATGGGCTAACACAGGCCACAACTTTATTGGTTACAGATGTGAGTGGTTTGGCTTAGGCCAGGCCTCCTCAATCTCAGCCCTCCAGATGTTTTGAGACTACAATTCCCATCATCCCTGACCACTGGTCCTGCTAGCTAGGGATCATGGGAGTTGTAGGCCCCAAATATCTGGAGGGCCGAGGTTGAGGAAGCCTAGTTTAGGCACTGGGTGAAACCAGGCTATATCTTGACTCCTGCCCATCTGCAGGGAGTCAAACTAAGGGTAAACCACCAGAAGGGGGAGCCCTATGGCTTACATCAAATAGGGGCACCCTGAGGTGTCCCTGTTGGGGTCATGGCATGGCTTTAGCCCGCGCCCGGGCTTCGGACAGAATCCACACCTCCGAATCCCTTTAACAGGATACCCTGACAGGAAGGTGACAGGAAGGATTCGAAACCTGCAGGAACAGAGATTTACAGAAGATTGGAAGAAGTATATTAATTATTTGTAGATCAACTGTCATCAACAAATTACTCTAGTAGGACTACAAGAAGTTTTGGAAGGAGAAATATACAAAGTGTTACAAAGTAGAAAAAGATAGAGGTATTGGTTGCGTGGCAAGTCCCCTCCCCTATGTGAAATGAAAACACAGGACACATTATTTAAGGTTAATGGACATAAAAAGGCCACAACTTTATTGATTACAGGAATTGGAAGGTATTGGCCTTAGGCACTGGCTCCTTTCGACTACCCGGCATGGAGACCGGGAAGGGTTATCCACAAGCCGTGGGGGTCCTGTTGAAGTACGCCAACTAGGATCCCACGGGTGTCACCGCTTAGGGGCGTGCCGGAGGCCCTTACCTCCCTAGGTTTCGGACAAGGCAACGCCCCCCGGAGTCCTCTACCGGACTACCCTTTTCCTTGGGGGAAGGTGATGGCGCTTCCTTTCCCCCTTCATTTGCATAACAATTACCCCTGCCAATGCCTAACCACCAATCGAGCAAAGCTCGCCGCCAATACCTTCAAACCTGTAACCAATTCCTAATCCCTGCTATGATGTCCCCCAACCAAATATCATTTCCAGCATCTGACAGATGCACGCCATCCCATCTGTAGAGGGCCTCGTTGCTGTGCTGGATGCCTGGGTGGCCTATGACGCACCCGCCCAGAGCCGCCACTCTACGTGCCACAGCCCACTCCAAGACCTTTCTTGCTTTATTGATTCCAACCGGGCTCACACTATCCCTCCATATCCTCCTCTCAAGCAACGAGGACCACAGGATAGTAATGTTTGGATAAGCCACCATCAGATCAGCAAAATCGTCAAAAATGTTCCATCTCAATAGCTTTGCGGTACGCTAGGTTGTTTCCCCCTAGCTGGATAACCAGGGCATCAGGTGGGCCCTCAGCGGTGGCTCTCGCCATCACGGCTGGCTTGAATTCGCTCCAGCGCATCCCCCTTCGCGCTATCCATGCCAGTTCAACATTTTCAGGTAAGTTCAAGTTTTGCCCCAACCCGGTCCTCATGGCTCGATTCTTGGCCCAATGCACAATGCTGTGGCCCACCAACCAAATGCGCACCCTCGTGTATTCTGAAAAGCAAATAGACAGAAAAACCAAGGTCAGGAGCTCAACCGCTAGTCATAGATTCTTTCTCACATAAGCTTTGTACGCATTAGATTTCCACCGCCCCAAGTCCTTTATCCTCTCGGCCGAGAGCCCGAGGTGTACTGTGGTGGTAGCTGCCCCAATCCGAAAGGAGTGAGCTGCAAATTCCGCCGCGGGCAGCCCGCATGCTGCCAAAGCCATGCGCATCACCTGCGTAAACTGGTGTCTGGTCAAGAGCGATCCATCCGCGTGAATTAAGAAAGGGCCAGGGCTATTGGGTCTTAAGTAGAGGAAACGCCTCGTATCCCTAACCGGGCAGGGTCCGCTATCCTGCGCGGCTGGTAACCGAAGGAGGGCCCCCCTACCCTGTTGGTCCGTCTTAGAGCTCCGTACTTGAACGATTAGGTCAGTCCTAGATAGGGTTAGGTCACTTAAGAGGATGCCCCTCTGGCAGCGGGCAACCCCTCCCTCACAGACTACCTCCCCTATGCGAAGGGCACCAAAGAAGGCTATGGAATAAGCGGCAGAGAAAAGGCGAGCTTCATATTTTGACCAGCATATTGATCGTAATTTTTTGTGCATCTGGGTCAGAATATCATAAGCTAAAGGCCTCCTCTTGTCAGTGCTGGGAGGCTGGAGCCGACGCCAACCCTCTAAAGTCTTACGCACTATAAATTCAGCGCACGGGTCGGTGGCGAAAAAGGCTTTACAAAAATATGAGATCCCAGCGGACTGAATATTAAGAGTCTTTGGTGCCCTGCCCAGCTCCTTCAGGTGGGCTAAGTAGCGGAGGACCTCCCTCGTTGAGGGAATGGAATTCTGCCTCGTGCTGGGTATTCTGTTGCGGAACTTTAGGAAGTCAGCCCACGCTTTCTTGTATGAACTCATTGTGGAAGGGGCAACTGCACAGAATACTCTCTTCATCATTTCTTGCTCCCAAGACTCCAGAGATGCTCCGGGAAAGGCATCGATGATTGTTCCGCATCCGGCGCTAATGAGCGGAAGCGCTCCATCTGAAAACGAGACAGAGCATCCGCGATGTCATTATTAATGCCAGGTACGAATTTGGCTGAAAAATATATATTCTGCTCAAGACACAGGAGGACGAAGGACCGTAACAAGTTTCCCACCCTGGTGGAACGCGCGGCCTGTCTAGAAAGAACCGCTACTACTGCCTGGTTATCTGTGTTGAAACAAACCCTATGATTGCGGAACTGCTCTGCCCAAAGATGTACTGCCACTACAATAGCGAAGAATTCCAAGAATGTAAGGTCCCGAGTAATGGGCTTGTCCTGCCAGTCTGCAGGCCACTTTGGGGCACACCACTGGCCCCTGAAATAAACTCCAAAACCCAAGGAACCTGCCGCATCTGATTGGACTTGGAAGTCAGCATTGAGTGCCATGGAATCTTGCCATAAGGATATACCGTTGTACCTGTCGAGGAATTGTAGCCAGACTCCCAGATCCGCCTTAACTTCTTTGGAGAGGCGCACCCTATGCTGTGGTGCCCTGAGACCTGCCGACAATCTGGCCAGGCGGCCACAAAAGGGCTGACCAGGCGCCACTACCCTACAAGCAAAATTTAGGTGACCTAGCAGGGATTGAATTTGCCTTAGGGTAATCTTCTTTAGGGGCAATAGCTGCTGTATCAGTGCCTTAAGGGCGAACAGTTTTTCCTCAGGTAACCTAGATGTTTGGGCCACGGTGTCTAACTCAATGCCCAGATAGACCATGGAAGTGGCTGGACCCTCCATTTTCTCGGCGGCCAGTGGCACCCCCAGGTCAGCTGGAACGGGGCAAAGAGGGCGGTCCCCGGTCGCGCCTGGCCTTAAATGGGCTAGGCTATGCCTCCCCAGCCCGCCGATTGGCGGGCAGGGTTGCAGGCACGCCCGGGGATTCCCTTGTTCTCATGGGGGCAAAAGGCCAGCCCCCGCGTGTGTGGGAGGGGGTAGCCCGCAACCCCCTCTCCTCTCCAGTTCGGAAATGGCTTTATGAGTTTAAAATGTAATAGGGAAAATAAGAAATGCATACTAAGAGATTAGATTGGAAAATTTTCAGACAGGACTGATGGAAGTCAAAAAAATTGAATAAGATGAAAAAGTATGTTTAATTACTGCTGAAAATGATACGTTAAAAAACTAATAAAAATTTATATAAAACAAAAAACAAAAAAACACACGAAGATACCCTTATCGAGGAGGGACAGGCTGAGGCTACAAACAAAGGTCTTTAAACAAAGGCCTTTTGTTGTTGCTGTTGTTTAGTCATTTAGTTGTGTCCGACTCTTCGTGACCCCCTGGACCAGAGCACGCCAGGCACTCCTGTCTTCCACTGCCTCCCACAGTTTGGTCAAACTCATGCTGGTAGCTTCGAGAACACTATCCAACCATCTCGTCCTCTGTCATCCCCTTCTCCTTGTGCCCTCCATCTTTCCCAACATCAGGGTCTTTCCCAGGGAGTCTTCTCTTCTCATGAGGTGGCCAAAGTATTGGAGTCTCAGCTTCAGGATCTGTCCTTCCAGTGAGCACTCAGGGCTGATTTCCTTCAGAGTGGATAGGTTTGATCTTCTTGCAGTCCACGGGACTCTCAAGAGTCTCCTCCAGCACCATAATTCAAAAGCATCAATTCTTCGGCGATCAGCCTTCTTTATGGTCCAGCTCTCACTCCCATACATCACTACTGGGAAAACCATAGCTTTAACTATACGGACCTTTGTTGGCAAGGTGATGTCTCTGCTTTTTTTTTGCTTTGCTAAAAAGCAAACAAAGGCCTACCCAATGCCTAACCTTACAAAGTTGTGCCGATTGCTACAAGGTAGGCGAAAGCCAAGTGGCGGGTGCCAATTCGCCAAGTGGAAAAATTCCTACCTGGCCCCAACAATAAGGCGGCCGACATTTGTCCATAGCAAGGTCGTGCATACCAAAGCTTAGAAAGAGAGCAGGTGGGTTGGGAGATCTGGTGACACGCTGCCATGCCCGTTGCTGGCATAGATTGGCCGAGCAGGGGTAACACAGCTGGGGCAGACACGGAAGGGGGTGTTAGTCTCACACCCCCGAGGCAGGTCATCGCAAGGGCCCAACCACAACACCACTGCTGCTCCTTGAGTATCAAGCAGCTGTTCAGAAACCCACTAAATTGCAGCCCTGGAAAATTAAGCCTGGTCTAACAGAGAGTGCATACTTTTTCTGGAGTCAGATAATTTAATTGGGAACTAATAGCTTTATGTAATTAGCAGCTGGCAATTTGTACGATGAAATACTTAATGGATGTGGATAATAACAATGACGACACTGGTGATAACAGAGGTAATGATGGTGTCTATTGTATGGGTGGATTAGATGGCTGGATGGGGAGAGTTAAGGTTATGATCATTCTGGTCTAGCATGTACAATATATTTGTCATACACAATGGTGAATAAGGAGGGGAGAATGCTATATGCTTATTTAGTGGAAATGTCAGAAGTTTCCATAAGACCAAGATTTTGGAATGTGGAGGATAAATTGACCTCAGGATTGGTTTTTAGGCCTGTAACTCTAGGGTGGTTGTCAGGACAATGGCAAGGACAGAAAGAACCTTAAAGAAGCATTATCCTCAGATTCCCGGCTTTCATTAAAAAAAATAAAAATAAAGGTTTTAGCATCTGGATAACCTGAGATATAAGATAAAATACGAAGGCACTTCTTTTAATTTGTGTGTGTGCATGCTATATATAGAGAGAGAGGACAAATTAACCTACTTTTCAGTATTTTACACTCCTCCAACAAAAAGAAAAATTAAAAATCCTATGGATGCCCTTTGGATTGGAGAAACGAGAAACGGAAGGATAGAACCAGATACTGCTTTGTTAATGCTTGCTGTGATTCAAACATTGTATGGGATGAAGTGTTCAGTCAGCCTCCCTGCTGAATGTAGATTGGCATGCCATTTCATTTTGAGCACGCAATCAGCTTGAAATGGTACATTTGTGAACAACTGGCGCTTTTCTGAGAGACACAAAGCATCCCAAATCAATTCATCTTCTCTTCCCGGAGTTTCATTTTTGTTGTGGCAGAACGTCCTGACTGATGGCAACTCCTGTTCCTAATTAAACGGAGCACATTTGCTCTCTTCAGGCGTTCCATCTGAATGCGCAAAAGTTGGGGGTACATGAGGCCCCGCACCCTTCTGTGATGCTGCCAGCGCTGGGCACTCCTTGGCCAATATGTGATCACTGTTAGTCTGAAGCAAGTGGTTAGTTGGGCGGCCAGTCTGCCTTACTTTTGGAGATTCCAAAACAGGAACCCCAGTCGATCAGGATGCCTCTCACCATGTCAGAAACTGCTGCACTGGGTGGTAAGCCAATGAGACATGAGGGTAGCAGCAAAGACTCAGTGAAAGACAAAGCAGAACCCTGATTTCCTAGGGTTTTTTAATAGGGCAGGGACCCACCACAAGTAAAGGAGGCTCCATTCTCTACGAGGCTGCCCATCCCCCAAGGCTGGATGGCCATCTGTCATGGATGCTTTAGTTGAGATTCCTGCAGGGGATTGGACCAGATTACCCTTGGGATCCCTTCCAAATCCACAATTCTATTATTCTATAATTCTAAGTTGGGGAGTGATGAGAACAGTGGCAAATGGGGAGACTGTTCACCCCCACTTTCACCTCACTTGGTAACATAATTTTGATTAATAATACCTAAAGAGGGATTGATTTCTTGGGTTTTTCTTTTCTTAATAAAGAATTTATGCTTTACTTCCCCACCTAAGTTTCAGGTTTTTGGAGCTGAACTTCTGAACACCTTGCAATCCTTTTCACCCTTCTGTGAAGAACAGCCTCAAACTAAACCAGGCACATTACAACCCAAAAGCAAAACACAAAATTGCCGAAACAATTGCATTCCTTCACAGTCATAGACTTGCAGAATATCCCAGTAATTAGGAATGAGTAAAGCTCAACATCAAAGAAACTAAGATCATGGCCATCACCTCCTGGCAAATATGAGGGGAAGAAATGGAGGCAGTGAGAGATTACATTTTATTGGGCTCCATGATCACTGCAGATCGTGACAGCAGTCATGGAATTAAAAAGACGCCTGCTTCTTGAGAGAAAAGCAATGACAAACCTAGACAGCATCTTAAAAAGCAGAGACATCACCTTGCCAACAAAGGTCCGTATAATTAAAGCTATGGTTTTCCCAGTAGTGATGTATGGAAGTGAGAGCTGGATCATAAAGAAGGCTGATCACCAAAGAATTGATGCTTTTGAATTATGGTGCTGGAGGAGACTCTTGAGAGTCCCATGAACTGCAAGAAGATCAAACCTATCCATTCTGAAGGAAATCAGCCCTGAGTGCTCACTGGAAGGACAGATCCTGAAGCTGAGGCTCCAATACTTTGGCCACCTCATGAGAAGAAGACTCCCTGGAAAAGACCCTGATGTTGGGAAAGATGGAGGGCACAAGGAGAAGGGGACGACAGAGGACGAGATGGTTGGACAGTGTTCTCGAAGCTACTAACATGAGTTTGACCAAACTGCAGGAGGCAGTGGAAGACAGGAGTGCCTGGCGTGCTCTGGTCCATGGGGTCACGAAGAGTCGGACACGACTAAACGACAAAACAACAACAAACAACAACAAGCAGCACATCACTGAACACTAAACAGCTGTGTATACGTATGGTTGTGTACTACATGGGCTATATACACACAATCAGCTTTTGTTGTGCAGTACAGGAACAGCTCCCTCAATGAAGCATCATTCCATTAGCACATACGTGCTTTGCGACATGAGCAAATCTCTCACAAAACGGACAGACTGAATAAATACTAAAAAAGAAAGC